TGGAGGTTGCTCATACCTCCATGATCCATGCCGGTGCACCCCATTTTCTGTGGCCGTTCACTGTTCGCTACGTTGCTCACCAGCTTAACATGTGGCCACACTCCCAGCGGCCGCAGGTTTCGCCGACCCTTCTCTGGACCGGGTTCCCTGGTGACGCGTCTGCGTTCCATGTCTGGGCTGCCTCACTCACGTTCATGCCTCTGGCATGGACAAGCTTACTGCCCGCACCATCCCTTGTGTCTTCCTTGGTTTCCCCCTTGACGCGTCTGACTGGCACTTCTACCACCGCCTTCTCACCGCTTTTTTCACTCGCGTGATGTCAGTTTTGACGAGTCTGTCTCCTTCTACCACCGCTTTCCCCACCAAGGTCTCCCAGTTTCCCCGCCCCTGTTTATGGTTCCCACTTACACGGTAGCCCCTGCTCCTCTCCCTCCCCTTCCTGCCCCGTCTGGTGTGTCTCACGTCACTCCCCTCTCGTCGCTTGTCCTGGTTGAGGAGTCGGCTGACTCCGGGGGCCCGCGGTTTTGGTTTTGTCGCTTGTCTTAGCCACAGTGTCCCCTCCTCTGCCGCCGATGCCGCTGCAGCAGTCGCTGCCGCTGCGGCCGCAGCAGCAGCCACAGCCATTGCAGCTACAGGGTCCTCGAGTTATGCGGGTGCTGGTTCTGGGGGTGCAGGTCTTGGGGTTACTGTCGTGGCTTGTCCCGGCGGTCTCGGGGGTGGCACCGGTGCTGGAGAGGGTTCTCGTTCTAGGGGTGTTGGCGTGGAGTGTCCTGGAGGCAGCCGTGGTGCAGCCGGAGGTTCAGGTGTCGGCGTGGAGTGGCAGCCGCAGTAGCCGCAGTCGCCGACGGTGTTCGCCTTTCGCCTCCTTGGTCTTCCCTCCCCTGACCACCCAACTCCGCCTCCCCCACCGCCGCCTCCCCTGCCTGTTCACGGCCCTGTCCATCCTCTAGTGGACTCGTCTCTCCCTCGTTCTCCTCCTGTGTCTCCTCCCTTTCTCTTGACCCGACGCCTCCGTCTCACGTCTGGTCTCGCTGTCCCTCCCGTGCTCGTCCTGTCTCCCCTGTTCAGCGCTCCCACCCTATGTTGCTTCGTTCCCACGTGTCTCGTCCTCCCCTCCTCCCGTCGCCTCCTCCGTCGTCGCTTGTTGTTGTGCCGCCTCCCCTGTCTGACTACCTTCGTGCTGTAGTCCTCTTGTTCCTCGTGTCCTTGCCTCCCTCGCTACCGGCCCGTCTGTTCCTGTCTCGAGTCTTGACGCTCTTGTCATTGCTGTCGCTGACTTCACCTCTACCCGCGACCTTGACTACGCCACCGCTCTGGTCTCTGATTGTGTCAGTCCTCTGTCCGTCGAAGGTGCTCCTGCCCTTGGCAATGATGTCCTGGAGGACCGGCGGTACGAGCTTGCTTTCCTGTCCGAGGCGGCGCCTCATCTCTGCTCCAGGCTGCTAGTCCCTCAGGGGGACCCAGACGCCTTTGACATCCCGACCCCTCGTACTTACGCTAAGGCGACCTTGGGACTCTGGGCCTCTTAGTGGATAGCTACCATGGACGCGGAGATGGCATATTGGAGGTCCACTGGCACCTACGTTGATGCAGTTCCCCCACCAAGGGTGAACGTAGTCGATGGCCGGTGGCTCTTCAAGGTGAAGCGCCCTCCTGGAGAGCCGCCGGTGTTCAAAGCGCGCTAATGTAGCTAGAATCTTTAATCAGCGCGAGGGTGTTGACTTCTTCCTGACTTTCGCCCCGAAGACGACCACTCTTCGGGCGCTGCTACACGTAGCAGCAGAGCGTGACTATGAGCTGCACTCCTTGGACTTCTCGACAACGTTTCTTCAGGGCAGTCTGCACGAGCAGGTCTACCTGTGTCGCACGCCAGGCTTCACCGGCACCTTCGCCCCGTGGACCCAGTGGCTCCTCCGGCGCCCGGTTTACGGCATGCGGCAGGCGCCGCGCGAAATGCGCGACACGCTGCGTGCTACGTTAGCTGAGCTGCAATTCTTCCCGTCCTCTGCAGACCCTTCCCTCTTCGTTCGTGTTGGCCAGACCTTGCTCTACAACCTTGTCTACGTAGATGACCTGGTCTTTGCTACTGCAAACTGGGACGCACTGGCCTCCGTGAAGCCTGAGTTGTTGAGGAGAGGCACATGCACTAACCTAGGAGAGCTGCGCCACTACCTTGGCATGCAGATCTCCAGGGACAGAGTGGCGCGCACCAGGGCATCACTCTGACACAGTCACAATTGGTGCGCCATGTCCTTCAGAGGTTCGACCTTCAGTTCTCCTCTGCACAGCCAACACCTCTGCCGGTAGATCACAGACTCTCAGCTCCAGTCCCTGAGGAGTCTGTAAAGCCTAGTGGTCCTTACGCAGAGCTGGTGGGTTGCCTCATGTACCTGATGACTTGCACTCTCCAGATCTCGCATACCCTTTCGACATCTTAGATCGCTTTGTGGCCACAGGCAGACACCGCCCACAGCACTGGTCGGCCGCTAAGAGGGTTTTGCGTTATCTAGCAAGTACATCGGGCATGGGGCTAGTGCTAGGAGGACACAAGCCAGTGGTCCTTACAGGTCACACAGACGCTTCGTGGGCAGGCGACGCTGAGACAATCAGGTCCTCCCAGGGCTAGTGCTTTAGCCTTGGTGCAGGCGCCGTCTCGTGGCGGTCCACTCGTTCGTCGTCTGTTGCCCAGTCTAGCTGTGAGGCTGAGATCTATGCCGGTGTCATGGCGGCACAGGAGCTCCGCTGGCTGACCTTCTTGCTCACAGACTTAGGTGAGCGGCCTAACTCTGTCACAAAGCTAGGTTAGCTAGGAAGGTAGGCGGCCATGAAATGGCGAGAGGTTTAGGAGCTAGGAGTGAAAGTTGACGACAGAAAAAGAGAGAGAACTAGAAGAGAGAGAGGTATACAAGGAGGGAGTTGTACCCTCTACAGTAGAGTTCGATAACCTACCAAGCCTATAATTATATAACAAATATAATTTAACACACCCCCTAGGCTTGGTAGCGGCAAGCCCACCACACACACAGCACACCAAGCCACACACCGCCTAGCACCCCCATACTCAGCAGCAGCGACAGTTACTTCAGCACGGTCAACCCCACGGCGCGTGAGGTGGGGCGACGTCGACAACGAGGGCAGCGGCTGCAACGGCGGTGACGGCGGCAGCGTCGACAGCGGCGGCGGCGGTGGTGTGCGGCGGCGGTGTGCGGCGGCGTGGCCAGCTGCACCAGCTGTGGCGACGGCGGCTTCGACGACAGCTGCCGGTGGCGGCGGAGCTCGCAGCACTCGGCGGCGTGGCCGGGCTCCACGACGGTGGGACGGCCGGCGCGAGTCAGCCATCGGCTGCGGCAAGGAAGAGGGGACGCAGGGGAAGGGCGGGCAGGGCTTCAGCAGCGGAGTCCGGGAGCGTGCCGCCCCGTGTGGCGCGCTGGCTGCATGCGGGCGAGCTGGCCAGCGCTAAGACGGGGCGCTGGCCGCTGCCGTCAGCGCGCTGTCGCGTAGACGCCGCGGCAGCGTGACGGCGCCATGGCTTGATTTTGACGCCACGACAGCGCGACGCCACGGCAGCGCGTCGCGACGGCCGCGGCAGCACGACGCGGCCGGCGGCACGACGACGCGGCCACAGCAGCTTGACGCGGCCGCCATGACAGCGAGAGAGAGAGAGAGAGAGAGAGAGAGAGAGAGAGAGAGAGAGAGAGAGAGAGAGAGAGAGAGAGAGAGAGAGAGAGAGAGAGAGAGAGAGAGAGAGAGAGAGAGAGGGAGAGAGAGAGAGAGAGAGAGAGAGAGAGAGAGAGAGAGAGAAACAAGCCCGCGGCGGAAGCGTGAGGAGCAGGCCCACAAGGAACGAACTGCTCCAATACCATGTTACAAAGCTAGGTTAGCTAGGAAGGTAGGCGGCCATGAAATGGCGAGAGGTTTAGGAGCTATGAGAGAAAGTTGACGAGAGAAAAAGAGAGAGAACTAGAAGAGAGAGAGGCATACAAGGAGGGAGTTGTACCCTCTACAGTAGAGTTCGATGACCTACCAAGCCTACAATCATATAACAAATATAATTTAACAAACTCTGCCCCGGTCCTGTACACTGACAACAGGGCCATGATCCTCCTGTGTCAAGAGCCTCGACTGGAGGGCAAAGCGAAGCACATCCAGTTGCGGTACTTCCTCCTGCGCGAGCTGCAGCAGCGTCACCAGGCTCGCGTAGTACACTTGGCCTCATGTGCCAACACAGCTGATATCTTTACGAAGGCGCTTGATTGTGTACTGGTACTTTTATATTAACTTGACTGGTCTTGTGGCCCTTGTCCCAGTGGCTGGACTAGTAGTACCACCCTGGATTGCTCTTGTTTAGTTTGTACTCTTGCTGACTGGTCTTCGGACCCCTGCCTCAGTGGTTGGACTAGTAGTGCCACCCTGAGCTGTGTGTCTCTTGCCAGGCACTGCCCCTCATCTAGCCTAGGGGGTGTGTCAAACATATTTGTATATGTCTTATAGGCTAGATAGGTGTGTACTCTTAGAGGGTACAACCCCTTTCGACAAAACCTACCTGTTTGCATTATTCATTCTCACTTTGATACACTGTGTGCTGAGCACGTGTTGACACTTCGTGCTTGCCTCTCTTGTCCTAACTTCGTTGTCGGTCCAAACTTTAGGAACGCGATCTCAGCTCAGAAGGCTTTCCATGCATCACCGTTTGGGACCGTGAGATACCGATCGCACTCTTCAGGACTCACCTAAGGTGACGAAACAGGGTTGAAGGTGAAGGCCGACACGTGTTGGGGCGTGTCCAGCGCGTACGTTTCCAATTCACTTTATACGGTTCAATGTGGTGCTCGGTTGTCCAACGTGGTGATGTGCGAAAACCGCTCCCGACTGCAATGTATCCTACTGAACCATCGTGATTAACATACGCGCCGAACACACCCTTAGCGCTGTAGGGTTGAATGCCGTTCCGTTACGCGTCACGGTTAGAAGTGGAAAACAACACCTAGTTTTAGGTGGTGTCGCCAATTTCCAACTACTGTATGCTGCTGAAGGACAGTTGCATGTTATCATTTACACGAGTATCATTTACGCATAATTCATTATTGTAAGCAATAGCAGTTGTTGAAAAAGGGGCAAAAACAAGAGCACTTATTGTTGAGACTTGTCTTGTAACACTCCAATAATGGTAACATGGGAGGTGGTGGAGGGGAGGGAGGTGAAGGGGGGGCCTAGGCGGAGGAGAGGGGGGAGGGGATGGTGGGGGAGACGGGGGAGGGCGAGGTGGAGGGGAAGGGGGAGGGTATGGTGGAGGAGACGGGGGAGGATGAGGTGGAGGGAAGGGGGAGGGGATGGTGGAGGAGACGGGGGAGGATGAGGTGGAGGGAAAGGGGGAGGGGATGGTGGAGGAGACGGGGGAGGATGAGGTGGAGGGGAAGGGGGAGGGATGGTGGAGGAGACGGGGAGGATGAGGTGGAGGGGAAGGGGGAGGGGATGGTGGAGGAGACGGGGGAGGATGAGGTGGAGGGGAAGGGGGAGGGGATGGTGGAGGAGACGTGGGAGGATGAGGTGGAGGGGAAGGGGGAGGGGATGGTGGGGGAGACGGGGGAGGATAAGGTGGAGGGGAAGGGGGAGGGAATGGAGGGGATGGAGGGGGGAAGGAGGGGGTGAGGTGGGGGTGAGGGAGGGGGGGAGGGAGGAGGGGAGGGGGAGGACTAGGAGGAGGTGAGGGGGGTGGGAGGGGGGAGGACTCGGGGGAGGTGACGGGGGGGGGATGGAGGGGGAGGTGAGGGAGGAGGGGAGGGTGGAGGGGGAGAAGGTGGAGGAGATGGGGGAGGAGGGGAAGGAGGGGAAGGAGGGGGGATGGTGGGGGAGGGGAGGGAGGTGGAGGGGAAGGAGGAGGAGGGGAAGGAGGAGGAGGGGAAGGAGGAGGAGGGGAAGGAGGTGGAGGGGAAGGAGGAGGAGGGGAAGGAGGTGGATTTGGTGGGGATGGTGGGGGGGAAGGGGGAGAGGGGGGAGGAGAAGGAGGTGGGGGGGAAGGAGGAGGAGATGGGGGAGGGGAAGGAGGTGGGGGGAAGGAGGCGGGGATGGGGGAGGGGAAGGGGGAGGCGGTGAGGGAGGTGGAGACGGGGGAGGGGTGGTGAGGGTGGGGGGAGGGAGGGGGGTTTGGTGGGGGACGGGGAGGCGAGGAGGGCGAGGAGGTGGGGACGGAGGGGGAGGAGGGAGGGAGGAGGTGGGGGTGAAGGAGGGGGGGAAGGTGGAGGGAAAGGGGGGGAGGGCTTGGGGGGGAGAAGGAGGAGGGGAGGGAGGGGGAAAGGGAGGGGGGCTTGGGGGAGGAGATGGAAGAGGGGGAGGAGGGGAGGGAGGCGGGGAAGGGGGAGGACTAGGTGGGGGGGATGGGGGAGAGGGGGGAGGATTGGGTGGAGGAGATGGCGGAGGGGAGGGGGAGGTGGGGAGATGGGGGAGGGGATGGGAGTGGTGGTGATGGTGGGGGGGAGGGAGGTGGGAGAGGAGGCGGGGGTTGGGGGGAAGAGGGGGAGGAGGTGGTGGAGAGGGAGGGGGAGCTGCCATGCAGGGGCGAAGGGGGGAAGGGGGGGGACGGGGGGAAGGGGGAAAGGGGAAGGGAGGCAGGAAAGGGGAAATTGGGACATAAGGGAGATTGGTCAGGTGCAATTGGAAAAATGCTTAGAGAAATGCCATGAAATGTAAGGGAAGAGAGGACGATGGGAGGAAGAGAGGACGACAGGAGGAAGAGAACAGACCAACAATTTCCGGGAAAGGAGGGGGTGGTTGGAATCGTGAGGGACTGGCTATAAGGAACGCAGGGAATGGAAACGTAAGGGGCAGGAGGGGGGTCAGGGAGGTACGAGCTCAAGGAAGAGAGGGAGAAGCCCTTCTCTTATATGATGAGTGACATAGTGGGAGAAACCGAGCTTGCTGCTACCCTACCCGACCTCTCAGTGGGCAGATTTTGGCTTTTGAGTTGACTCAAAAGTCACCTTGCTGCCGTACCCGGCTTATCAGTGGGCAGATTGTGAGAGCAGTCACGGGGGGTAGAGGGCTAGGTCGGCTTAAGTCGCTTCTCAAGCTGAGAGTAGCCATGGAAGAGTAGACACCACCCGAGACATCGGAGTTGTCACAGGCGGCAGAGGGCCTTTGAGGTGGCTCAAAAGAAACTGAGAGACGGATGGACAAATGAACAGGGCTCGTGCAGGGCACCAGAGACTCGTGAGGGGGCAGGCAGGCAGGCAGGCAGGCAGGCAGTCCCGTTAGCAGCACGAGTCGGCCCTGCCGCCCACGTGCACTTATGCCATATGGTAATCATGGGGAAGACAGAAGGGGAGGTGGAACCAAGGGAGAACGGACATGGGAAACAGAGTGTAGGTGGGGTGTGGAGGGGTGGGGGGAGATAGAGAGAGACTCACGAGGAGGCAGGCACGCAGTCCTGTTGGCAGCAAGAGTCGACCCCGCCCACGTGCAGACACACCGGATGGTAACCAGGGAGGGAAGAGACGGGGCCGTGCGAGCAGGGAGGAAAGCGAAGGGGCAGTGTAACGGGGGACGAAGGGGCAGTGTAACGGGGGACGCCATGAGAAACAACAACAGAGTGCAAAGGGGGTTGGCAGGGAAGAGAGACTCACGAGCAGGCAGGCACGCAGTTCCGTTAGCAGCAAGAGTTGACCCCGTCCACGTGCTGCAGTTGCCCCGATGGCAACCAGGAGGAGGAAAGGAGGGGTGGCACAACCAAGATGGACATAGGAAACAGAGTGGGGGTGTGGAGGGGTGGGGGGGATAGAGAGAGACTCACGAGGAGGCAGGCAGGCAGTTCCATTAGCAGCAAGAGTCGACCCCGCCCACGTGCAGTTACACTTGATGGTAACCGCACCAGTTGTCGCTGCCACTGCCGTCACCAAACACACCCCAATTCCGTACGTGCACTGGCTGTTACTCCCCGCAGTGGTAACCAGATTGAAACTCGTCGTGCAAAAGCTGGTGCACTCCGCTGCCGTCCTCTGTGGCTCATTAACCGTAACAGGGTTACCACCTGTGCTCGTGCTGCTAGTGCACGTGTCTGATGCGTATAAGAGGCAGTTATTGGAGGTTTGGACAGCAGAGGAGGCGTTCGGGCAGATGGAATTTCCAGCGAGGTCGACAATGTTGCCCGAGCCGAAGAAATAGTTGTTCTGGACGTTGTAGAGTTGGGCGAGTAGGGCTGAGCTCATGGGGGGGACTGGCCCAGTGAAATAGTTGGAGGAGAGGTCCCTGAGGTGAGGGGTGTGAAGGGGAGAGAGGGAGAGGAGAGGGAAAATGAGGGAGAGGGGAGATCGGATCGGAGGCCCCTCAGAGGTGGACGTGCAGAGCTGAGCTCATGGGGGGGACTGGACCGGTGAAATAGTTGGAGGAGAGGTCCCTGGGGTGAGGGGAGCAAGGGGAGAGAGAGAGGAGAGGGAGGAGAGGGAGGAGAGGGAGGTCTTGAGGTGCCTCAGAGTCACGCGAGCTGGGCTGAGCTCATGGGAGGGACTAGGCCGGTGGAATAGTTGGAGGGGAGATCCCTGGGATATCAGGGGGAGAGGAGAGGGGGATAGGGGAGGGGGAGAGGGGAGGGGGAGAGGGGAGGGGGAGAGGGGAAAGGGAGAGGGGAGGGGGAGAGGAGAGGGGAAAGGGAGAGGGGAGGGGGAGAGGAGAGGGGGAGTGGGGAGGGGGAGAGGTGGAGAGAGAAGTAGTTGTTTTGCCGTCTCTCTCTTCCACAAGCTCAGCTCCTCCCATACAGCTTTGAGCCAGCCACCTCACAACGCTTCCCAGAGGCACTGCAATGCCAGCTCTTGGGAGGGAGTGGGAGGCAGTGGGCGTGCAAAGAAAGTGGAAGGATAGGCCTGTGGTGAGGGACTGTGCCGGACTGGGAAGGACTGGGAAGGTGGGACTGGGCATGTGAAACAAATGTTCAAGGATGGGCCCGTCACCAGAGGCCTTTGAACGTTACCATAAATGCTCAGGCAGGGCAGCGTTTAGCGTTTAAACACTGAACGCTTGGCCAAAATTCTCTGGACAGCCCGGCGAAAAAAACACGATTTTTTTTTCCTGCGACATTACGACTTGGCGAATTCAACCAGACATTTGCCAAGTCGCAAATCCCAACCTTGCGACCAAAAACGCATCCAACCCTTTCGCCCGCTCAACCGCACTGCACTCTTTTCTATCTATGACTTCCAACCTAACCAGTTTCTCCCCTCCAACCCTCACAATGTCTTCCCTGTCAAAAACGCTAACCCTAGAGTTCCGCGCGCCTTAGTCGTAGCGCAAATCCAGCACCTATTCGCTCATCTCCCACCCTAGCCACCTGATTTCGCGCTAAGTCAAGAGCCTCGCCCAGGTCGACCCCCCCCAATGATGTTTTGACATCCCTAAACTCTTATGTGTGGAAAGATTTTGAATGAAAATGTTTGCTGCCATAATCCCCTACCTCTGCCTGGTTTTTTCCCCTGCCTGGGGTAATTTTTTTGCTGCACAGGCGTGCGTTTATCCTAGCGTTAAGAAACCCTGGCAGGCGCATTTATCGTTTAAATGCTAGCGTTTCAACAATGCGTTTAAAACGCTAAACACGTTTACGGTAACTTTGAATCGAGTCAAAGGAAAAGGTTGACGGAGGGAGGGACCAGTCATTCGCGGGTGACAGGGTTGGTTAAGTGACATCAGGGACGAGCCGAGCCAGTTTTTTTCTGGCCCCAGCTCGACTCGAGCCGAGCCGGCTTTTTTCTGCCCCCCCCCCACTCGACTCGAGCCGAGCCGACTTTTTTCTGCCCCCGGCTCGACTCGAGCCGAGCCTGCTGGCCGCCTAGCCTTCCGCCTGCTGTTGACGAGCCAGAGTCGAGCCGAGCCGTTCGGCTCGAAGTCGAGGCAGCGCGCGGCTCGAGCGGATCTGGCTGGCAAAACGCGGATCTGGCGGGGGAAACGCGGATCTGGCAGGGGAAACGCGGATCTGGCGGGGGAAATGCGGATCTGGCGGGGGAAACGCGGATCTGGCGGGGGAAATGCGGATCTGGCGGGGGAAATGCGGATCTGGTGGGGGAAACGCGGATCTGGCGGGGGAAACGCGGATCTGGCGGGGGAAATGCGGATCTGGCGGGGGAAATGCGGATCTGGCAGGGGAAACGCGGATCTGGCGGGGGAAACGCGGATCTGGCGGGGGAAATGCGGATCTGGCGGGGGAAATGCGGATCTGGCGGGGGAAATGCCCGCCCGCGTGGATCTGACAAGCGAACAACAGCGAACACCCTAATCTAAAGCCCCTTAGCTGATTTTAGGCCATGCGCCTGACAAGCCGGGCCCTAGCTCGAACCTGTGGGGCAAGCCGAGCCGGCCAATATCAGAGTGCCGGCTCGAGTTGGCTCGGCTCGGCTCGGCTCGGCTCAGCTCGTCACAGGCCCAGCTCAAGCCGAGCCGGCTCGTCTCGGTGCTTAGACCATGTCTAATCGGCAATTGTGTGCCTGTGGAGACGTCAGCATATGCGATACAGTGTCTGTACTGACGTCAGCCTGGGTATTATTACAGTGACTGTAGTGACGTCAGCGAGCTGATGATGGGCATCACGATGCCGCTGAGGTAGTTGTGGCTGACGTCACTGGTGGCAGCAGCAAAGGAGGAGAAAAGGGAAAGGAAAAGAAGTAAGGGCAAGGCTTTGAGTTGAGTCAACAGGAGCCAGTTACAGGTAAGAAGACTGAGCATTTTTTAGAATTCTCAAAAATACCCAAGACGACTGAGTTGAGTCAAGAGGAGCCAGTTACAGGTAAGAAAACTGACCTGACGACGGCTCCTACAGCTACTGGCAGAACAGGGAAACGACCAGTGTGACCAGTGCGACCAGTGCGACCAGTGCGACCAGTGCGACCAGTGCGACCAGTGCAACTAGTGCAGCAAGCAACCAGCACTTGCAGTTTTATAGCAACCGGCACCTACAGCTCGTATAGCGTCTGGCAGGTGGCCAGGGAGGGAGGCAGCCGGCCCAGGAAGGAATTGTAGGAGAGGTCTCTGGGGGGGGCAGGGGGGGGCATTCAAAGACAACGTAAAATCTTGTGTCTGAAGGGAGGGAGAGGGAGGAGAATGGAGGAGAGACCCAAGGGGGCTAGAACAGTAACGGACGAGGAGACCCAAGGGGGCTAGAACAGTAAAGGACGAGGACACCCAAGGGGGCTAGAGCACTAAAGGACGAGGGCACCCAAGGGGGCTAGAACACTAAAGGACGAGGAGAACCAAGGGGGCTAGAGCACTAAAGGACGAGGAGTTTCAAACTCTAAACTCTGAACGCCTAAGGCTAGCTTACGCCACAACACCTACTGGAAGCCTAGAGACTGTTTGCTGCTGGTGCAGATGGGAGAGTGGAGCATGTGGAGGTGGCCATGCGGCAACTCACCCTACTGGTGAAGGCTCAGGGATCGGGCTTTAAGAGGGTGGGCTTATGAGTTTTGAGACCTCTAGAGACAGACAGCTTGCTGCTGGTGCAGATGGGAGAGTGGAGCATGTGGAGGTGGCTATGCAGCAACTCCATCAGAGAAGGGTTTACGGTACAGCACCTACAGGAAGCCTAGCGATGGAACGGCTTGCTGGTGGTGCAGGTGGGAGAGTGGATGTGGAGCATGCAGATGCGGCCATGCAGCAACTCAATCAAAGGGCTTACGGTACGTTATGAGTCGAATCAAAACATGCCATACGGCAACTCAATCAGAGAAGGGCTTATGGTACAGCACCTACAGGAAGTCTGGAGACGGAACGGCTTGATTCTGATGAAGATGGGAGAGTAGAGCATGCAAAGGGAGGTCATACGGCAAGTCAACACGCTGGTGAAGGCTCGGGCTTTCAGAGGGCGGGCTTTAAGAGGGCAGGCTCTACGTCCTCGGGCTTTAAGGCTTAGGCCCCGGGCTTTACAAGGGCGAGTTCTCACAGGAAGCCTAGAAACGGCATGCTGCTGGTGAAGATGGGAGGCAGAGAGCCGTTGAGCTTGTTGCGAGAGATGTCGCTGGGAGGAGGGAGAAGGGAGGCATGAAGGGGGAGGGGGGGGGGGAAACCTTAGAGAAGAGTAAAGAGTCTGAGAGCCGTTGAGATGGGAAAGGCATGCTGCTGGTGAGATGGGAGGCAGAGAGCCGGTGAGCTTGTTGCGGGAGATGTCGCTGAGAGAAGGGAGAGAGGGGAGACATAGGAAGAGAAGCGAGGGGGGGTTTGGGAGGATGCTGATGAAGATGGGGGGCTGTAGAGCAGATGCCTTATTCACTCATGGTCTTGGGAAGAGCAACAGTGCAAAGATTTTTGAGGTGCCTCAAAAATCGGGGGGTGGGGGATGCTGATGAAGATGGGAGGCTGTAGAGCAGACGCCTTATTTCCATCAAACATGCAAGCAGACAGCAACAAGGGGTTTCTCTCTTCTCAGAGAAGGGGAGTTACAAGGGAGAAGAGGGAGGCGAGCAGAGAGACGGAAATACCCATGTCGAAATGGAGGTGTACTCCCATGAAGGAAAATGCTGGGCTTATGGGGAAAAGAGGGAGGAGAGGTCAGAGAGTTGGAGGGGGAGGGAGTGGAGAAGCCATGCGAGGCAGACAGCAACACGGGGTTTCTCTCTTCTTAGGGTAGGGGAGCAGAGAGGTGAGCGAAGAGAAGGAAACACCTATGTGGGAACACAGATGTGCTTCCCATGAAGGGAACAGTACTGGGCTTACAGGGAGAAGAGAGAGGTGAGCTCCGAGAGTTGGAGAGGGAGCGAGCCAGTGAGTGAGTTGCGATTGAGGAACCTGCAAGGAGCAACAGGGAAAAGGGGGGGGGGGGAGGGGGGGGGGGAGAAGGGGTGAGGGGGGTCCTGATCAGCAGCAGTCAAGAGGAGCCGAGGATGGCCAGAGAGACGAGGGATGAAAGGACGGATGGTGTATTGTGCTCTTTTGAGGCGCCTCAGTTACTGTGTTGTTGCCAACAAGGAGGGTGTATTGTGCTGTTTGCCAGTAAGAGTATTGTGCTGTTTGCCAGGTGTCTGGTTTAAATTCAGTAACAGTGTTGTTGGTTCGCCAACAGCAGTCAAGACAATTCAAAGTGTCAAGGGTGCTAGACTATGGCCAGAGAGCTGAGGGAGGAGAGAGGGGAGAGGGTGCTTACACTATGGCCAGGTAGAGTGTGTTGTTTGCCAACAGCAGTCAAGACCAGTCAAAGTTTCAACAAGGGAGCTTACATTATGGCTAGAGAGCCGAGGGACGAGAGAACGGAGGGTATAGATCCAGTTAGGGTGTTGTTCGCCAGGCCTCTGCACAGCATGGGCGAGAGGGGAGAGACAATTCTTTAGGCGCTTCAAATAGAGGGGGAAGGCCCTTTTTGGGCAGTTAGAAAGAAGGGGTAAGGCAGGAAAATTCACACAAAAGAGAGAGGAGCCGCTAGGCTCTCGAGCTGCTGGGCTCTCGAGCTGCTGGGCTCTCGAGCTGCTGGGCTCTCGAGCTGCTGGGCTCTCGAGCTGCTGGGCTCTCGAGCTGCTGGGCTCTCGAGCTGCTGGGGCTCTCGAGCTGCTGGGCTCTCGAGCTGCTGGGCTCTCGAGCTGCTGGGCTCTCGAGCTGCTGGGCTCTCGAGCTGCTGGGCTCTCGAGCTGCTGGGCTCTCGAGCTGCTGGGCTCTCGAGCTGCTGGGCTCTCGAGCTGCTGGGCTCTCGAGCTGCTGGGCTCTCGAGCTGCTGGGCTCTCGAGCTGCTGGGCTCTCGAGCTGCTGGGCTCTCGAGCTGCTGGGCTCTCGAGCTGCTGGGCTCTCGAGCTGCTGGGCTCTCGAGCTGCTGGGCTCTCGAGCTGCTGGGCTCTCGAGCTGCTGGGCTCTCGAGCTGCTGGGCTCTCGAGCTGCTGGGCTCTCGAGCTGCTGGGCTCTCGAGGCTGCTGGGGCTCTCGAGCTGCTGGGCTCTCGAGCTGCTGGGCTCTCGAGCTGCTGGGCTCTCGAGCTGCTGGGCTCTCGAGCTGCTGGGCTCTCGAGCTGCTGGGCTCTCGAGCTGCTGGGCTCTCGAGCTGCTGGGCTCTCGAGCTGCTGGGCTCTCGAGCTGCTGGGCTCTCGAGCTGCTGGGCTCTCGAGCTGCTGGGCTCTCGAGCTGCTGGGCTCTCGAGCTGCTGGGCTCTCGAGCTGCTGGGCTCTCGAGCTGCTGGGCTCTCGAGCTGCTGGGCTCTCGAGCTGCTGGGCTCTCGAGCTGCTGGGCTCTCGAGCTGCTGGGCTCTCGAGCTGCTGGGCTCTCGAGCTGCTGGGCTCTCGAGCTGCTGGGCTCTCGAGCTGCTGGGCTCTCGAGCTGCTGGGCTCTCGAGCTGCTGGGCTCTCGAGCTGCTGGGCTCTCGAGCTGCTGGGCTCTCGAGCTGCTGGGCTCTCGAGCTGCTGGGCTCTCGAGCTGCTGGGCTCTCGAGCTGCTGGGCTCTCGAGCTGCTAGGCTCTCCAACGCCCGTTGAGTCGGCGTAAAGTCCCAGACCAACACTACCAAACCAGCATGAATTTGCTGCAGTTCCTCCATGGTTTTTCTTAGTCTGCCTTGCATCGCATTGTTTGTTCCGTTCTCCTTTTTCTTTCTTTCTTTCTTTCTTTCTTTCTTTCTTTCCGCACAATACGGGCATCAATTCGCCTCTGGTCACTCTGGTTGCCGCAAAGCAAGGCCACGGATCGAATATCAGCATGAATTCCAGGCCCGATATGCTGGGAGACGACAAGGGGGGGGAGGACGGAGGGGGATGGCCGGGAGAAGAACGAGGTAGGTGGGGGGGACTGACAGGTACTGTAGCGCGGCAAGAGAGGAAAGGCCGGCAGGCAAGGAGCCCGAGAGCTTGTTGTTGGACGCACTCCTGGGATGTGGGGAGGGAAGAAGGGGGGCCGGCAGAGGTGGAGCGAGGGGGCGGGGGGGGGGGATGGGGAAGTGGCAGGGGTGTGTGATGGGAGGAAGGCCGACAGTCAAGCAAGGAGCCAGAGAGCTTGTTGTTGGACGCACTCCTGAGGGGGGGACGGGGCAGAGAATGAGGGCAGAGTTGCGTCGCTCTTCCTCTGGATCCAAGCTTCGAGAAGTCAGAGGCGGGGTTAATGGAGAGGGGGGAAGCCAGAGGGAAACAACAGAGCGGTGGGGAGGCGGGGTTAATGGAGAGGGGGGAAGCCAGAGGGAAACAACAGAGCGGTGGGGAGGCGGGGTTAATGGAGAGTGGGAAGTCAACAGGTGGGGAAATGGTGGAAAGCAGGGGTGGGTTGCTGAAGAATACATTTGAGCTTTAAGAGAGGGAAATGGGAGCAGGAGGAGAGTGGGGATTATGGAGGCTGTGGGGAGAAGAGGAAGAAATAGGATGTGTTTTCATCACACCCGCATTTCAATATCACGAGACTTTTAGGTACACTCGGGAGGCAAACGAGAGAGACTCACAAGTATACAAGGGAGGCAAAGGAGGAGACGGACGCAGGTATCGATCCATTTTTTAGTCGACTCAAAAGTATACCCAGCGGCCAGCGGGTGTCACGAGAGGGACTCACAAGTATACTAGGGAGGCGAAGGAGGAGACAGACGCAGGTATCGAGCCTGTGAGGGCATTGTTGTCGAGGAAGCTGTGAGGAAGGTGTGAGGAAGGTGTGAGGAAGGTGGAAGAGTAAGAGTGGAAGGGAGACAAATTCAATACTTAAACGGTTGGAGAAGGGGAAAATGAGGGGTTAGCCAAGAGGGGTGCGGAAGACGAGACTAAAGAGGTGCGAGGGCTAGAGAAATGTCAAGAAAAGGGAGGAGGAATGAAAAGGGTGGAAAGAGGATATGGAGGGGAGAGTGGAGTTGGGTTAGGTGAAGTGCGGGCAAGAGGGAAGAAGGGGGAGACTGGGGGAGGGGGGAAGGGGGAAAGGGGAAGGGGGAAGGGGGGTGGTTGAAGGAAGGGCAAGGGATAAGAACCTGATAGGCGATAAGCTTGCGCACTGACAGGAAGCGAAGGTCGGTGAGAGTCTTTTGCTGGCTTGCTTTTGAGTCGACTCAAAAGGGCAAGGGATAAGAAACTGATAGGAGGAGATAATTTGCGTTGCGTACTGACAGGAAGCGAAGGTTGGTGAGAGTCTTGAGCTGGCTTGGGATGGCCCCTGTGAGTGCGTTTCCGTTCAAGTAGCTGGTGGGAGGGAGACGGAGGGATGTGGAGGAGTTGGAAGGGAGAATGAATGGTCAGCGATTGACTTGAGCTGGCTTGGGATGGCCCCTGTGAGCGTGTTGGGATGAATGAGGTAGCTCGGTTGGGATGGCCCCTGTGAGCGCGTTGCTGTTCAAGAAGCTGGGAGGAGGGTGGAGAGGCGTGGGGATGGGGAGAAAGGTTTCGTTGTGATGTGCAAAGTCGCTCGTAGTAATGGGGTGCGGATACGGCGGCTTTGAATGGTAGCTCGGTTGGGATGGCTCCTGTGAGCGCGTTGCTATCCAAGTAGCTGGTGGATGGGAGGGTGCGGTGGGGTGGGGTGTTATGGGTAGCAAGTAGGGGGGCTTCAGTTGGCTTGGGATGGCTCCTGAGAATGCGAGCAATGCTGTTCAAGTAGCTGGTGGTGGGAAGGTGGATTGGATGGGGGGGAATTGGAAGAAACGTTTTTCTTTCCTATCCAGCGTAGCTGGTGACAGAATGGGCTGCAAATATGGGGTCCAGAGGGCTTGCATTTCCAAGACAAGATTGGGTTGGGTTGGGTTCTGTGAGCACGTTGTAACAATTTACTGGGTCGGAGGGAGGGATGGGATGGGGTGAGTTGCGGTGAGTTGCGGTGCGGTGAGGTGATATGGCTTGCAATGTTCAAATTGGCGTGCTGGACAGAAAGGATGAGGTCTTAAGTAAAGCGTGTCACAAATGTAAAAGCACAAACATCTTTGTAAAAAGGTGCGCAGTGTGGTGAAGTGAGGTGACGGTGCTTGCTAAGAGATGAGGTGCAACTTTTGAGAGAGCAGTGAGTTGAGTGGGAAAGGAGCCTATTAGCTTGTTCTCTCACTCCTCGCATTGCACCAGTAGGGAGTGCTTGTAGCGAGAGTGCTTGTAAAGAGTAGACTCACAGTCCATCTAGGTTGGTGAGGGTGCTGAGTTGAGCGGGGATGGTGCCGGTCAGCTTGTTTTTCCGAAGGTCACTGCACTCGGAAGCAAGGGGAGGAAGCGGGGGAGGGATGGGGGGGTGGGCGGGCGGGCGGGCGGGCGGGTATGTGAAGGAACGGAGTGTGAAAGGGAGGTGCGCGGTTTGCAACATTTCCAGGCGATTCAAAACTGCACTCGAGTGGGGGGTGGGGGGTGGGGGGTGGTGGGTGGGGGGGGGAAGGGGGAGTGGGGGCAGTGTGGCTGGAAAGGGGTGTGGGCGGGCGAGCGGGCGGGCGGGCGGGCGCGCAACAGGATGAGACGGATGACGGTGTGTGAAAGGGAGACTTTTGGGTCGACTCAAAGGGGGCTCGGGTGGGGAGGGGCGTGGGTGGCAGGGCAGGCAGGCACATTCACATGTGTCGTATTAATTAATGGGATGGTGTCTGAAAGGGAAAGCATATTTTTAGTAAGACACAAGTGCAGGCTTACGCAAAATAACACACCCTGGCAACAGGCAAATCGTTGCTTGTGGGCAGCATGCAATGGAAACACTTAAGAGAAGGCAACACTTAAAGAGAAAGCTTGTGCGCAAACAGCACAACAGTAAGTGTCACCAGCAGCTCACTGCGGGTTTGCATTGTTGTGTGGGTATGCAACACCATGTGAGGCCGGGCAGACTGGTTTGCATTGTTTTACATGTATTTGAATAATAGTATGACGTTTGCATTTTGCACAACACGTAAGTGTGCTTCATTCCGTGTCATGTGCTCACAGTGTCTGCAGTGCCTTGAGTGCGGAGAGCGCAGCAGGGATGGATCCAGTGAGCTGATTGTCCTGCAGGTTACTGGGAGCATGCAAGGAGGGCGAGAGGGGGGTGCACCGTGGATGGAAGTTAACAGGAGGCACACAAGCAAGAGGCTGAAGTGAAGGGGGTGGATCCAGTGAGCTGATTCTCCTGCAGGTTACTGTGAGGACGCAAGGAGGTACAAGGAGGTACAAGGAGGTACAAGGAGGTACAAGGAGGTACAAGGAGGTACAAGGAGGTACAAGGATGTACAAGGAGGTACAAGGAGGGAGAAGAGGGTGGATGGAAGCTAACACGGGGGACAGACACGTGCAAGAGGCTGAAGTGAAGGGGGTGGATCCAGTGAGCTGATTCTCCTGGAGGCTAATGCGCGGGTGCAGGGAGGGGAACAAGGATGGATGGATGGATGGATGGATGGACGGACGGACGGACGGACGGACGGACGGACGGATGGATGGATGGATGGATGGATGGATGGATGGATGGATGGAGGGAGGGACAAGGGAGTAAAGGGAAGTTGGGATGGGAACCAGCCCCAGCACGCACGAGACTGAAGTGAAGGGGGTGGATCCAGTGAGCTGATTTGTGGAAAGAGGTTATTGTGAGGGTGCAAGGAGGGGGGGAAGAGGTGACTTTTGAGTCGACTCAAAAGTCACAAGGAGGGGGGGGGAAGAGGAGGAGAGGAAGGGGGGGGGGAGGGGAAGGAATATTTCTGCCCACGGGTCAAGAACGGTGGGCTAAGCCTAAGGGAAGAGATCTGGTGAGCCGATTCTCCTGGCCTGGGGGATACTGTGCAAGTGCACGGAGGGATCAAGAATCCCGTTGGTCCTATCTGTGGCCAGCCACCTATTATTCTTGACAATTCAATCGATCCTTCAATCAAAAGCAGATGTCTCAACGGTTCCAGCTTACAGTTGTGTTAGAGCCACGAGTTTGGAAAGGCCAACAGGAATTGAGCCCGTGAATTTGTTGGTGTCCAGTCGGCTGGAAGCAAGGCAAAGCAACAGAGAAAGGCAAAACGAAAAGGTGGGGACAGAAGAGGAAAACGGAAGGGGATGATAAGTCTATTTTTGAGGCCTCAAAAATAGACTCCTAACTTTTGAGCCGACTCAAAAGGCATCCCGTCCCGTTGCAACATGCATTGACTCAGTGCTTGAAAAAAGTCCTCTTGTGTCATGGAGGTGACTTTTGAGTCAACTAGGTGACTTTTGAGTCGACTAGGTGACTTTTGAGTCGACTAGGTGACTTTTGAGTCGACTAGGTGACTTTTGAGTCGACTAGGTGACTTTTGAGTCGACTAGGTGACTTTTGAGTCGACTAGGTGACTTTTGAGTCGACTAGGTGACTTTTGAGTCGACTAGGTGACTTTTGAGTCGACTAGGTGACTTTTGAGTCGACTAGGTGACTTTTGCGTCGACTAGGTAACTTTTGCGTCGACTAGGTGACTTTTGTGTCGACTAGGTGACTTTTGCGTCGACTAGGTGACTTTTGCGTCGACTAGGTGACTTTTGCGTCGACTAGGTGACTTTTGAGTCGACTAGGTGACTTTTGAGTCGACTAGGTGACTTTTGCGTCGACTAGGTGACTTTTGAGTCGACTAGGTGACTTTTGAGTCGACTAGGTGACTTTTGAGTCGACTAGGTGACTTTTGAGTCGACTAGGTGACTTTTGCGTCGACTAGGTGACTTTTGAGTCGACTAGGTGACTTTTGCGTCGACTAGGTGACTTTTGCGTCGACTAGGTGACTTTTGCGTCGACTAGGTGACTTTTGTGTCGACTAGGTGACTTTTGCGTCGACTAGGTGACTTTTGCGTCGACTAGGTGACTTTTGCGTCGACTAGGTGACTTTTGAGTCGACTAGGTGACTTTAGCGTCGACTAGGTGACTTTTGAGTCGACTAGGTGACTTTTGAGTCGACTAGGTGACTTTTGAGTCGACTAGGTGACTTTTGAGTCAACTAGGTGACTTTTGAGTCGACTAGGTGACTTTTGAGTCGACTAGGTGACTTTTGAGTCGACTAGGTGACTTTTGAGTCGACTAGGTGACTTTTGAGTCGACTAGGTGACTTTTGCGTCGACTAGGTGACTTTTGCGTCGACTAGGTGACTTTTGCGTCGACTAGGTGACTTTTGTGTCGACTAGGTGACTTTTGCGTCGACTAGGTGACTTTTGCGTCGACTAGGTGACTTTTGCGTCGACTAGGTGACTTTTGAGTCGACTAGGTGACTTTTGCGTCGACTAGGTGACTTTTGAGTCGACTAGGTGACTTTTGAGTCGACTAGGTGACTTTTGCGTCGACTAGGTGACTTTTGAGTCGACTAGGTGACTTTTGCGTCGACTAGGTGACTTTTGAGTCGACTAGGTGACTTTTGAGTCGACTAGGTGACTTTTGCGTCGACTAGGTGACTTTTGAGTCGACTAGGTGACTTTTGCGTCGACTAGGTGACTTTTGCGTCGACTAGGTGACTTTTGCGTCGACTAGGTGACTTTTGTGTCGACTAGGTGACTTTTGCGTCGACTAGGTGACTTTTGCGTCGACTAGGTGACTTTTGCGTCGACTAGGTGACTTTTGAGTCAAATCAAAAGTCACCTCACTTGAAAAAGTCCCCTTGTGTCATGGAGGTGACTTTTGAGTCAACTAGGTGACTTTTGAGTCGACTAGGTGACTTTTGAGTCGACTAGGTGACTTTTGAGTCGACTAGGTGACTTTTGAGTCGACTAGGTGACTTTTGAGTCGACTAGGTGACTTTTGAGTCAACTAGGTGACTTTTGAGTCGACTAGGTGACTTTTGAGTCGACTAGGTGATTTTTGCGTCGACTAGGTGACTTTTGCGTCGACTAGGTGACTTTTGCGTCGACTAGGTGACTTTTGAGTCGACTAGGTGACTTTTGAGTCGACTAGGTGACTTTTGAGTCGACTAGGTGACTTTTGAGTCGACTAGGTGACTTTTGAGTCGACTAGGTGACTTTTGCGTCGACTAGGTGACTTTTGCGTCGACTAGGTGACTTTTGCGTCGACTAGGTGACTTTTGCGTCGACTAGGTGACTTTTGCGTCGACTAGGTGACTTTTGAGTCGACTAGGTGACTTTTGAGTCGACTAGGTGACTTTTGAGTCGACTAGGTGACTTTTGAGTCGACTAGGTGACTTTTGAGTCGACTAGGTGACTTTTGAGTCGACTAGGTGACTTTTGAGTCGACTAGGTGACTTTTGCGTCGACTAGGTGACTTTTGCGTCGACTAGGTGACTTTTGCGTCGACTAGGTGACTTTTGCGTCGACTAGGTGACTTTTGCGTCGACTAGGTGACTTTTGCGTCGACTAGGTGACTTTTGCGTCGACTAGGTGACTTTTGAGTCGACTAGGTGACTTTTGCGTCGACTAGGTGACTTTTGAGTCGACTAGGTGACTTTTGAGTCGACTAGGTGACTTTTGCGTCGACTAGGTGACTTTTGCGTCGACTAGGTGACTTTTGCGTCGACTAGGTGACTTTTGAGTCGACTAGGTGACTTTTGAGTCGACTAGGTGATTTTTGCGTCGACTAGGTGACTTTTGCGTCGACTAGGTGACTTTTGCGTCGACTAGGTGACTTTTGTGTCGACTAGGTGACTTTTGCGTCGACTAGGTGACTTTTGCGTCGACTAGGTGACTTTTGCGTCGACTAGGTGACTTTTGAGTCGACTAGGTGACTTTTGAGTCGACTAGGTGACTTTTGAGTCGACTAGGTGACTTTTGAGTCGACTAGGTGACTTTTGAGTCGACTAGGTGACTTTTGAGTCGACTAGGTGACTTTTGCGTCGACTAGGTGACTTTTGCGTCGACTAGGTGACTTTTGCGTCGACTAGGTGACTTTTGCGTCGACTAGGTGACTTTTGCGTCGACTAGGTGACTTTTGCGTCGACTAGGTGACTTTTGCGTCGACTAGGTGACTTTTGCGTCGACTAGGTGACTTTTGAGTCGACTAGGTGACTTTTGAGTCGACTAGGTGACTTTTGAGTCGACTAGGTGACTTTTGAGTCGACTAGGTGACTTTTGCGTCGACTAGGTGACTTTTGCGTCGACTAGGTGACTTTTGTGTCGACTAGGTGACTTTTGCGTCGACTAGGTGACTTTTGCGTCGACTAGGTGACTTTTGCGTCGACTAGGTGACTTTTGAGTCGACTAGGTGACTTTTGCGTCGACTAGGTGACTTTTGAGTCGACTAGGTGACTTTTGCGTCGACTAGGTGACTTTTGAGTCGACTAGGTGACTTTTGAGTCGACTAGGTGACTTTTGCGTCGACTAGGTGACTTTTGAGTCGACTAGGTGACTTTTGAGTCGACTAGGTGACTTTTGAGTCGACTAGGTGACTTTTGAGTCGACTAGGTGACTTTTGCGTCGACTAGGTGACTTTTGAGTCGACTAGGTGACTTTTGCGTCGACTAGGTGACTTTTGCGTCGACTAGGTGACTTTTGCGTCGACTAGGTGACTTTTGAGTCGACTAGGTGACTTTTGCGTCGACTAGGTGACTTTTGAGTCGACTAGGTGACTTTTGCGTCGACTAGGTGACTTTTGAGTCGACTAGGTGACTTTTGAGTCGACTAGGTGACTTTTGCGTCGACTAGGTGACTTTTGCGTCGACTAGGTGACTTTTGCGTCGACTAGGTGACTTTTGCGTCGACTAGGTGACTTTTGAGTCGACTAGGTGACTTTTGCGTCGACTAGGTGACTTTTGAGTCGACTAGGTGACTTTTGCGTCGACTAGGTGACTTTTGAGTCAAATCAAAAGTCACCTCACTTGAAAAAGTCCCCTTGTGTCAGGGAGAGACCACAAAAGAAATGGAAGATGAGGAGATTGGAAACACAACGAGCTGATCGACTCAAGAAGTGAATGATGTGGAAACACAAAAAAGCTGCGATGGCAGTTTCACAAGATGGGATTTATTCATGCACACAGGAGTTCACAAATAGACCAATAACGTGAGCAGCAGCCTTACCAAATGCGATTTTTGAGAAGCCTATAAAAACAGTTTCGCGACGGAGGGGATTTATTGAGGCAAATTGGAGTTCACAAATAGATCAATAAAGTGGAGTGGAGGCATGTTTTAGAATTCTCTGAAATTACTTCGCGACAGAGGGGATTTATTTATGCAAAACAGGAGCTAACAAATAAACAAAAAAAAAGTGAGCAGGCTCAATCAATGCACGTACAGGACAGTTAGGTTAGTTAGAGCAGAGAATGCAGGTGGGATTGCTCCTGACATGGAGTTGTTGATCATCTTGCTGCGAGGAGGAAAACGAGAAACCAGGAGAAAAGGGGCGAGGCGGGGCAGAACAGAGAAACTTTCAGAAACCGGCGAGGTGCGGAGAAAAACACGAGGGGGGGAGGAAGTGGGGTTTTTCTACAGAAGAGACAAATGAGGGGGAAGGGCATGGCCGCAAAAAGGGTTTTAGACAGCGCAAGTAACAACACGGACGTAAGGTGAGCTGAGGGCATGGCATATGATGTCATGGCATGATGTCGGCATGATGTCATGGCACGCACTGCCACGCCATGCAACCATGCTGCGATGCAATGTATGATACCATGTCACATCATGTCATGCCACGACATGTCATTGACAACCCGCCGGCATGCAAAACATGCATATGCCACACATGCATATACCACATGTGGATGTGCCACACATGCACATGCCACACATGCAGACACCAAACACGCTTGCGCCACACATGCACACGTCAGGACAAGTCATCTAGTGTCATGACACACATGCATACACATCTAATCGCATGTCACACATGCAGAGACATCTATTGTCAAGGCATGTCACACATGCGTAGACATCTACTGGCATGGCATGTCACACATGCGTACAGATCGACTGGCATGGCAAGTCACACATGCATGCACATCGACTGTCATGGCATGTCACACATGTGTACACATCGACTGTCATGGCATGTCACACATGCGTACACATCTAATGGCATGGCATGTTACACATGCGTACACATCTTTGAGCTTCGGAAGAGCGGTGATCATTGTTGGGAAGGGCCCGGAGATGCCACTCCTGCTCATGGACCTGGCAACGGACACGGAGGAGTGTGTAATGAGTCGACTCAAAAATCGACTCATTAGAGCGGTGATCGTTGTTGGCAAGGGCCCGGAGATGCCACTCCTGCTCATGGACCTGGCAAGGAACGGACACGGAGGAGGAAGGCCATAGAGGAAATGGGGTTTTTTGAAGAGGTGACTTTTGTTATGATCGCCTCAAAATTCACCTCTGAAACTGCCGGCTCATGGACCTGGCAGGCAGGGAGAGGGACGGCCACACACACACACAGGGAGATTCGTCACGAGCAGGGATTACCCTAGGTTTGTCAGAACAAGCTATTTCAAATCAAATCTTTAGGCCTACAGAAAAACTGGAGATACATACACAAGCTCGTTGTGGTAGATTAGCACATGTGAAATGACATCAATGGGTACCAGAGGAATGTTGGGTGCAGGGTGGTTTGCTCACAGAATGCTGGGTGCAGGGTGGTTTGCCCGCAGGAATGCTGGTGGCAGAGCGGTTTGCTCACAGGAACGCTGGATGCAGGGTGGTTTGCTCACAGCAACGCTGGGTGCAGGGTGGTTTGCTCATATAATGCTGGGTGCAGAGTGGTTTGCATTGCTCACAGAAATGTCATTTTCGTTAGTCTTGAGAATTCCGTAGGCAGGGAAGTAAGGTTCCCAGTGGTGGTACTGCGATGTGGTTGTATGGGGGAGAGGGTTAAGAGGGGGGAGGCGGGTCTCTTTTTGAGTTTACTCAAACGTAGGCAGGGAAGTAAGGTTCCCAGTGGTTGTACTGCGATGTGGTTATATGGGGGGGGGGAGGCATAAAGAGGGGGGAGGCGGATCTCCTTCGAGTCTACTCAAACGTAAGCAGGGAAGTAAGGTTCCCAGTGGTTGTCCTGCCATGTGGTTGTATGGGGGGAAGAAGGGGGGTAAGAGGGGTGAGGCGGGTCTGCTTTCAAGTCTACTCATAGGCAGGGAAGTAAGGTTCCCAGTGGTTGTACTGCCATGTCATTGTATGGAGGGGAAGGGAGAGGAAGGAACGAGCGTAGGTGTGGGAGTGGGGAAAGAAAGAAAGAAAGAAAGAAAGAAAGAAAGAAAGAAAGAAAGAAAGAGAGAGAGAAAGAAAGAAAGAACATGCTTGGACACTGGAGTGCATAAAGCAAGAAAGCCTCCATTTAGCCGATTCAAATCAAAGCGCTGTTCGAGAGTGGTTGTTCGTCTCACATAGCAGAGCTGACTTTTCAGTCGCCTGAACTTTGGGTCGACTCAAAAGTCAATTCAAAGAGCTGTTCGAGAGATGGACTCACATAGCAGAGCTGAGATGACTTTTGAGTCACCTCAAAAGTCATCCCGTTTAAAGTCAACTCAAAAGTCATCCCGTTTTAAGTCAACTCAAAAGTCGTCCCGTTTTAAGTCAACTCAGAAGTCACCTCGTTTTGAGTCAACTCAAAAGTGGTCTCGTTTAAAGTCAACTCAAAAGTCATCCCGTTTAAGTCAACTCAAAAGCCACATCATTTTGAGTCGCCGTTCGAAAGTGGTCTTGGCCTCACATAACGGAAAGTCATCTCGCTTTGAGTCCTACTCTTTAGTAAAAACTCGTTGTTTGAGAGGAAAGTGGGTCTCTGGCTCACATAGCGGAGAGGAAAGTGAGGTTGCCGATTGCTGCTGGAACAGCTCCCAGAGCGTTGAATAGGTACCTGGGGAAGAGATGAGGAGGGGAGGAGGGGAGGAGGGGAGGAGCAGAAGTGAGGAGCAGGAGTGAGACAAGGGGGTTGCCGATTGCTGCGAGAACAGCTCCCAGGGCACTGTACAGGTATCTGGTGACAAGGAGGGGAGGAGGGGAGGAGAGGAGGAGGGGAAGTGGGGAGGAGGGGAGGAGGGGAGGAGAGGAGGAGGGGAAGTGGGGAGGAGGGGAGGAGGGGACGTGGGGAGGAGGGGAAGTGGGGAGGAGGGGAGGAGGGGGGGAACATAAATGAGGAGCAAGAGTGAGACACGGGGGTTGCCGATTGCTGCAGGAACAGCTCGCAGGGCGTTGAATAGGTATCTGGGGACAAGGGAAAGACGCTTAAAGCAGTCATTGCTGGCCGCCCAGAGCACCTTGCGATTGCTGCTTGGACTTTAAAGCCCATGCTGTCACCACCAACGCTCATGCTTGAACTTCCAAGGTAGCAACGGTGTTGTGTAAGTTGTAACCGCATCACTCCAAGCAGGAAGGCTCAGTCATCGTAATCCAGTCCAGCCCAGCAGTGCACCATTCGAATAGAGTAACAATGTGACCACTTGTTACTCGCATCACTCACAGCACAACCACGTTGCCGTTGGCGTTGCAGTTGACTCCGAACAGGAACGAGCAGTCGTCGTTGGCCGTCCAGTACACCTTGGGGCTGCGGCTGGGAGTCACGAAGCCCATGGTGTCTCGGATTGTAATAAGAGCGTTCCCTGTAAAATGAGATATAGTGAGGCAGGAATCAGTGTGAGGGAGCGAGTGAGGTGTACGGTGTACCGTCCAGTACACCTTGGGGCTGCGGCTGGGAGTCACAAAGCCCATGGTGTCTCGGATCGTTATCAGCGCGTTCCCTGTACAACTGGGTGAGAGAGAGAGGGGCGGAGGAGAGGGGGGGAGTGGGAAGAGGAAGGGGGGGGGGGGGAGGAGGAGGAGGAGGGGGAGATACGGTGACGAGAGAAAGTACACCTTGGGGCTGCGGCTGGGAGCCACGAAGCCCATGCTGTCCCTGATTGTTATCAGCGCGTTCCCTGAAAAGCAGGGTGAGAGAGGGAGGCCGGAGGAGGAAGGGGGGGGGGAGAGATACGGTGACGAGAGAAAGTACACCTTGGGGCTGCGGCTGGGAGCCACAAAACCCATGGTGTCTCGGATGGTGATGAGCGCATTCCCTGGGAGGGAGGGAAATAGGGTCGAGGAGCGGAAGTGACTGGCAGGGAGCGAGGGAGAGAGGGGGGCATAGCGTCCACTACAACTTGGGGCTGCGGCTTGGAGTCACGAAACCCATGCTGCCCCTGATTGTTATCAGCGCGTTCCCTGGAATAAAAAAAAAAAAAAAAAAAAAAAACGGAGAGAGAGATGGAGAGAGGGGGGGTACGGTGAAGAAAGAAAGTAGACCTTGAGGCTGCTGCGGCTGGGAGTCACAAAGGCCAGAGCTCTCAGGATGAACCCCCTTCTCAGAAAACACCTACAGGCTACAACATGAACGGGGTCGGGGATGGTACGCCGTGCAATTAAAGGCCTCATACAACTCAGTATCCCGTCTCTCGCCACACCATATCCCACATTCCCCTCTCGTACTCCATCTCTCGCATTCCCCCTCGCACAAATCCTCACGCAACCCCTCTCTTAGCTTCACCCACTCACATTTTCGCGGATTCCCTCTCTCGCGCTGCCTATTCGTATCTCTCTCCCTCATTCCCTCACACTCCCTCTCTTACATTCCCTCTCGCAAATTCCCTCAGTGAGGGACCCTAACCCATATGCCTCTCCCATATCGCCCATGCGTACCACCACCTCACACCACCGCACACCACCTCACACCATCTCACATCGCCACGGCACTCACATTCGTTGGCGACGACAGGCACAGCTGCCACGTGGCATCGACCGCCCGCCAGCGCTAGCAGTACCGTCACGATGAGCGACAATTGCAGTGATGACGTGGACCTCCCGCACGCTCTCGGTATTGTAGCAGCCTTCCCGCGAGGCCTCCATACCGTCACGACGGCAGGCGAAACCGGTAACCAGGGCGAGGATTTCGCGCGCGATCTGGACGTGGGCTCGGTAGGCATTCTAGCCATCCATCGCGCTTCCCGTACCGACATGATGAGCCTCGCAAGGCAAAAAGCATGAAGGAAATACTTCGACTCTCCGTCTAACGACTATATTCTCGTTCTAATGGCATTCTAATGGCGTTCGAATGGCAAACGACTAACACCTACTCGTGGCTGGTCTATAACGGCTCTTAAGGCTCTACTTCCCGCTTCTCGTGCTAGAGTTGACGGTTCCTCACGTCGTTGAACCAGGGGCGAGGAAGAGGGCAAACGGCTATCAGGTGGGCTGATCGAACCTCCAGAGTCGAGCGAAAAGCGGCGACCCGTAACAATAACTGTAACAGATCGCTGTTTTCCGTAGCAATATCGCCACTTTGGTTGAAGTACTACGTCGATGACAAGTAACAACGACGACGACGATTCTGTTCTGCCGCAATGCGGTTTACGCCGCGTCGATGTGTGCAAGCCACAAAGGTGAAGAAGGCGTGTCGATGCGGTTTACGCAATGCGGTTTACGCCGCGTCGATGTGTGCAAGCCACAAAACTAATGACGTCATTAGGAAAAGAAGGTGAAGGTGAAAAGACGAAGCTGTGTCTTAGAGCAAGCGGAGGGTGCTGCAGCCTGAATGTAACCCTGTTTCCAAGCTTTTAGACTTGAACTGCAGCCAGAAATATGAGATTCGGGCCTAGGAACTAAGAACAAAGCCTAACCTCAGAACTACTCTATGGCAACTTCCAGATGCAACTACGGCAAACAAAGCCTCCTAGAACTACTCTTCTGAAAGATCTTCACTCAAACGAAACCCGCCATACCGTTCAAAATCACGACTCAACCCTCATTTTCCCCAGCTTCAGATCAGAGTGCGAGCCCAACGCGATGAGAGCCGTTGGATCAATGAAAGCAGGATTCGTGAAGCCAGCTCACTAGAGTTACTGTACATATGTCGCATCCGGTCGGAAGCACCAAAAAGGCAATCCAGTCGAGTCACAAAAACAATTGTTCTTAGCATACACTATTCATGTACTGTATTTGTGTAAGGAAAACATTTCCCCTACTGTGCATCCTGCTCACTAGCGCGTAAGGCCGTTGTCATTGGTCCTGCCTGGTTTGTCAACCCGGCCCACGTCAGCACTGCGGAGTCACTCAAACCAAATAAACCCGCGCTCGTTTATGGCGTGTCACACTGAGTGATTTCGGCAAACTGGTCCTTCAGGGTCGGATCGAGCCCGGTCAGGCGGCGCAATTTCGTGCGTGGTGGGGCTCCATGCTCATTCTGGCGAAACCCTTTCTTTGTTGTCTCATCTCGCACCGTATGTAAGGAATTTCCATTCCTTACTGATTCGTACGCTAGCGCGTACACCCGAACTCCTAGATCTACTCGTCACGTTCGGCCTTATTTGTCGGCCCAACCTCTTCCCAAGTCGTGTCCGGCACTCTCGCCACATTGCCGAACCTACCCATGTTCCGAGGTTATCACCCTAGCACGCCAACCCCTATATAACCTCGTACTTTCATTGCAATAGCGACCTTGTATTCTCACGTTTTAGTTCATTGACACTTCCTATATCATTACAGCTGGTATCGGAGGCTGACCTTTCCATATATTTTATGGTTTCCCGTTTATTTAAATAAGGGTGGTCAGAGGGGACTAGCACGGCTGCACAGCAGTTGTCTTGGATCATAAATATTTTTACGCCAACAAATACTGTTAAATTATATATTTTGTTATATAATTGGTAGGCTTGGTAGGTGTTACTGAAACCTACTGTAGAGGGTACAACCTCCCTCCTTGTATGGCTCTCTCTTCTATTCTCAACCCCCTTTTTCTCTCCTCAACTTTCCTAGCCTAAAACCTCTCGCCATTTCAATGGCTTCGATCCTAGCTTACTTTAACATGGTAATAGAGCAGGTCGCCCTTCCCGGGCCTGCTCCCTACGCTTCCGCCATGCACTCCTCCTCTTCCTCTCGCGCTGCCATGGCGGCCGCGTCGTGCTGCTGTGGCGGCGTCGCCATGCCGCTGACCGCGTTGTGCCGCAGCCGTCTCGACGCGCTGCCGTGGCGTCGCGCAGTCGTGGCGTTGACGTCCAGCTGTGGCGGCGTGACGGCACCGTCGTGCTGCCGTCGCAGCAACGACGTCTCGCCGTGGCATCATTGACGCCGCACTGTGGCGACATCGTAATGCTGGGGTGGCGGCAGCCGGCCGCGCAACGCCTGTGGCACCGCTATACCTGCTGCCCGCTCGCCTGCCACGGACGTGATTCTGGACCACGAAACCTACTGTAGAGGGTACAACAACCCTCCGTGTATGCCTCTCTCTTCTATTCTCGACCCCCTTTTTCTCTCCTCAACTTTCCTAGCCTAGAACCTCTCGCCATTTCTATGGCTTCCCTCCTACCTAGATCATAGCTTACTTTAACAACTACAACGCGTGCGCTAGCTTTTGCTCCGTCCTGACCGCCATGGCCTCGGTAGACTCGATAGTTGAGGGACAGTCTACCTCGATTGTTGCGAACCCTGCCCGGGAAATTGTGGACCTGCAAACATTCATGGATCAGTTGAAGAATTTGACAAGCGTCATCCACGACCTCCGCGACGAGAAACAACGACTTCGCCAGGCGCAAGAGAGGCGTCAAGAGGAGTCAGGCGACGATGCACGAAGCGAGGCGGATGAGCAGCAACCGTCGCCAGTGGAGCTGGCACGACTAGCGGCAACAGCCCCGTGCTCGACAAGTAGCGGTGTAAGATATCAGCAATCTATTCCTTTCGACCCAGCTAAAAAAAACGTGACGGTGCGGCAGTGGATATTCACTATGAATATCTATATCAACGCGGCGGGCATCCGAGACAATCAGAAGCGTATCAGCCGCGCGTTAACACTGTTGCAAGGGGCCGCCCTACAGTGGTGGAAGGTAATCGTCGACTCAGCGGCGACTCGCACAGAAGGACAGCACGAGTGGTCCGAAGAGTTCGGCGACGAAGAAGAAGCAGACTTCTTGTTCGGTGCGACCCACATTCGCACGTGGGCAACGTGGTGCGCAGAGCTTCGCAAGCGGTTTGAGCATGCTCCTGACTTAGACAAGGCACGCAAGACTCTACGCATGTGGAAGCAGCTGGGATCTGTGTCCGAGCAAATCACGTCATTCTTGACGTTGGTGGACAGATGTGGCTACATGTACGAATTGGAGAAGGTCGACAAGTACATGGGCGGATTGAAGCCCGAAATATAGTACTAGATAAAACCCTGCGAAGCGGCTACAAGACTCGTCGAAGCTGCTGATTCGATCACGAAGCCGATAACAAACTTCTACGACGGAGGTCGCCCTCGAGAACGGTACCAGCGCGCTACGATAAAAGGGGTGGACGCAATGGATATCTACGCATACGGGGCTATGCTACCACTGTGGCTGGCTGCGTCACATCCGACGCACCTGCCAATAATTCGTAGCCCTCCTGAATTCTATGGGGAAGAAGCCGGAGGAGCGACCGGGAAATGGGTCGCGTCGGTAAGTACCGGGCCGCTTACTGACGGGCAGGCTTCTTCGCCGGAGCCACACAGTCCCCACCGGGTCATGATCCCGATTGCTGCAATCGACCGGACCTGGACGAATAAGCGGGACGAAACTGCTGATCACCCTGTGTTGGTGAAGGGTAAAGTCAACGGGGTGTTATTGAATATTTTCGTTGATGGAGGCGCGAGTCACAGCCTCAAACAACTGGACAGGGCTTAGAAATTGGGTATACCCTTACTGAAGTGTCTACCTGAAATCGACGCCCGACTGGTGGACGGAATACCGCTGGCAATACAAGAACGAGTGGAGAACGTTGGTTTTACATGTGGGGAGCATGTAAAATTTCGGGTGGGACTACTGGCGACTACTCTCGACGGATGCGATGTGCTACTGGGATGTGATTGGTTACGATGGTACAACCCGAAGATTGATTGGACAATGGGCAGCTGCAGCATCAAGCTCGATGGGATTTCCCGCGAGCTGTCAAAATGAACTGGGCCCCGCATGCGAAGCACCCAAGTCCACGGGATCACTTTCAAATGCGCGATGAAAGCTGGAGTTGCAGCCTACGCCGTTGATCTTTGTGAGGTGACATCGACGGTCGAGACTGAAGATATCGAGAAGTTGTGCAAGGCTGTCCCTCCATACTTAGCGGACCTGATTCGGAAATACCCAGAGATTTTCCCGGACGATCTACCAGCTAGACTCCTGCCAAGCTGACCTGAGGATCACCGAATCGAGCTGGAACCAGGCGCCCAACCGACGGTACAGCGCCAATTTTGGCTCAGCCAACCAGAACTTGAAGAAGTACAGCAACAGCTGGATTACCTTCTCACGAAAGGATTTATCCGGCCCAGCACGTCACCATATGCCGCCCCGATACTGTTGACGCCGAAAAAGGATGGAGGATTCAGAATGTGTATCAACTACCGTGCACTCAACCGGATCACCATCAAGTCGCGTTACCCAATCCCGCGAGCCGACGAACTTCTCGACCAACTTCGCAGCGCCAAGTTTTCCTCGAAAATCGACTTGCGATGAGGTTACTATTAGATTCGCGTCGTCGCCGAATATTGTCACAAGACGGCATTTCAAACCTGTTACAGCAGCTACGAGTACCTGGTGATGCCTTTTAGCCTCACAAATACGCCCTCGACCTTTCAAATGACCATGAATGGAATTTTCCAGGAACTCTTAGACAAATGCGTCATCATCTACCTCGACAATATACTAATCTACAGCCGCAGCAAGGAGCAGCACTTATAGGATCTTGATGCAGTCTTCACACTGCTGCACAAGAATTGCCTCATAACCAAAGGGTCTAAGTGCAACTTTCTTAAACAGGAGTTGGAATTTTTGGGCCACATCGTCTCTACCGAAGGAGTGAAAATCGACCCCAAGAAAATCAAGACCATCCATGAGTGGAAGCCGCCGAGCAACATCAAGGAACTGTAGAGTTTTTTGGGTTTCGTCAACTACGTCCGCCGATTTATCTGCCCCGCTAACTGACCGCCTCAAGGATCACGATTGTTTTTTGTGGGGAGAGAAGCAGCAAGCTGCATTCGACCAACAGAAGATCGCCCTCACGTCGCCGCCCGTCCTTCGTATCTCCGATCCTGACTATCCATACGAAGTTGTCACCAACACCAACGGCATCGCCATCGGCACAGTTCTACAGGATTTCGGCGACGGATTATAGCCAATCGCCTACGAATCACGGAAGCTGCAGGGCGCAGAAAAAAAATGTACAGTACACGACAAGGAAATGTTGGCGATCGTTCATGCGCTCAAGACCTGGCTGTGCTACCTGACTGGCGCTGACGTCACTCTGTGGACCGACCACAAATCCCTCCAATACCTGCGAGCCCTACCGAACCTCAACCCGCAACAGATTCGATGGCTCGATTTCCTCGAGTCAAACTTCCACTATATCATCACCTACAAGCGGGGCACCAGTAACATTGCTGATGCCCTGACCCGACCCATTGCCCGTACAACCGCCATACTAGTCGCCCAGACCAGCCCACTCCTTACCGGAATATTTATCCACAGATTGACGGGCAGACTGAACAAGTCAGCCAAACAATTGAGCAACTTATTCGGACTACCTGCACTGATCCACAGACATGGGAGAAATCCCTTCCGCTGCTGGAATTCGCGTATAATAACGCGCCTTCCACCACAACCCATCAATCCCCATTTTTCTAAATTAAGGACATGACCCCGTGGTACCCTCTA